AAACACTTTAGAGTAGAACATTTACACCTTTACGTGGAGATTCTTTAAAGGTTCTTCACATTTGCACATCACTGCACATGAACTGAAAGGTTCCAGTGGTTCTCCAGTGGCATCACTCCAAAGATTCCTTTATTGTACTGTATTGTACTGTACAAGACAAATTGTGTTAATTGTTTAATTGAGTCAAGTACCACATTTTAGACATCTTTTTTCTTTCTTTTTTTTATTTCAAAGATTTGAAACACCACTACTGAATGTACACTCACTGGCCACTTTATTGGAAACCCTATCCACCTTGCAGGTGTACAGTTAGAGACTAAGCTGGACATTTTGGGTGACAGACCACTCTCAATCCAACAGTGCAACAGCAGATCAGTTGAAACTGAAAAGGATAGGTGGCAAAATAATGACCTTACGAAGTGGCCAAAGAATGGAAATGTAAAGTAGGTGTTTCTAATAAAGTAGCATTTTAAAATGGTTAAAATGCTTTATTAGCAGACCGCCTCTTCAAGCCAGCTGTGTTTCTACTGTGACTTCATATTAAACAATTTACAACAACCTTACTTTTATATAAACACTGGCACCGCCAGTACTCTTAAAAAAGATGGTTCTTCAATGGTTCTTTAGTAAAGACAACGGTTCTATATGGAACCATGAACACTTAAAGAACCAGTTGCATAAGAAAATGATGAAAAGGTTCATTAGATTGATGCAAAATGTGTTTACATGGTTTTATATAGCACCAGACAGGGTTCTGCTATTGATATATCAAGCTTGTTACAATATGAGAACCCTTTTTAATGCTATACATAACTGTTTTTAAAAAAGGTTCTGTATAGAACCGTATACAACACACTCTCCATCAATCTGAAGAATGCTTTCATAATGCAAGGAACCATTTAATAATGCAAATGGTTCTTTGAGGGTTTATGGTTCTGTATACAAGCACTGTCCTTAGTGAAGACTCCTTGAAGAACCATCTTTTTTAAGAGTGAATAATAATAATAATAATAATAATAATAATAATGGGTGCAGATGTAATTTGTATGCATCACAAAAAAAATGGACACCAATGTTACAGGAAGGAGTAATTTCTGCATCAGTAGGCATGTGCAAAAGTTTTGGCAGCCCTGGTCAACTGACTTGTTTTGTCATAATTTATAATAAGTAGATAATTTGTTAAATTCATCAACTACAACTACAGGGAATAACAGTTTTTTTTTCTGGAAATTGTAGTTCAAAGTACCTGTTTATTTTTAATATATTGGAAAAAAAAACCCACAACACAAAACATCTGCACAGGCCACATTTTATGTTTTTTTCCTCAATATGTTTTATTCAGCAAATAAACTGTAATTTTGCATTAAATGTGCAGAGGCGTGCTCTCTGTAGAGGATGTGTAACTTACTTTTTATTTAGAAGATCAACACCTCAACCAGGGGTGTCAAAACTTTCGCACAGATCTGGGTGTTCTCTTGTGGCTCTTGTTGTTTGAACCACTGAACTTTCGGGATGAGAGCAGTGAGCCGAGGTGTGGAAGTGAGCAAGACTGACTTCGTGTTACAGTACAAAAGCACAGTGACGTTACAGCCATGTGCTGATCTGTCACGCACACTCACCCACGAGGTCTGGGTCAGTCAGAGGCCACAGCAGCACCCTGTATTACAAAATCCAGACCACAGTGCCAAGGCCTTTAGATCACAGGGGTGGGTACAGGGGTCTACACCCGCACTTCAGTATGTCCTGTCACCTCAGTTAAATAAAAACTATGCTGCCAAATCAGAGTACAGATCCAAAAGCTCCTCCACCACCAGGTTCCCTGTAGAACCGCAGTGGAACATCTCAGCATATCTAGCATGTATCAGCACAGGAAGTGAAACCTGCAAAAGCTGAACCTGCAGAACAGAATATAAATAACCCCTAGAAAAGGAATCAGGACCCAAATGAAAAGGAACTGATGAAATTCTTTCCTTACAAACTGCTATACTGGGCAGCCTAAAAGTACCATTTGAAGTTCAAATCCATCAGATACATTTAAAATAATAAGGAAAAATGCCACAGAACCTGTTTTGATTGGTCTAATCCAGTGGTCACCGACCCTGCTCCTGGTGATCTCACTTCCTGTGGACGTCAGCTCCAACTCTAACTGCTTCCATGCAGGATGTGGCTCTTTTACTGCCCTATTGTGGCTCCACAGCAGAATTCAATTTTTAGGGAAAATAATCCTACTTTACAGTAAAATAAAGCTCTGCTGATCATTCTAATACAGTTTTAACAATAAATGGTCTTAAACACTGGAGTTAACACACAACTGCTTATTCCCCGACTATTAACCCTGAAGGTTGGCGCGCAGACTGCTGGTCTCTACAGCAACGCAGACAACAATCTTGCCTAGCTAGTAGCTACTGAAAAAGTTAAAAGAGAGATTTAAGATCAACACCGATAATTTAGAGATGAATGGACCTATATGCATTTATAATCACTCCAGCTGGTTTTCTGATACGTTTAATCTGCAACGAGAAACTGTCAAACACTAAAAAGTCGCAAAGCTGGAGTCAGCTTCTCTTTTGTTAGCCTCTCATTCGAATTTTCCCGTTCCACCTTAAATGGTGCAGCAGTTACGTTCGCTATTTAAGGTGGAACGGGAACATTCGAACAAGAAACTGGAGAATGAGAAGCTGACTTCAGCCTTGTAAAAAAATCAAACGTTGAGAGACATTTTACAAGAAACTATTCTATTTTTGAGGAAAAGAAAAGCAGCTATAGCTGAGCTACAGTTGAAAACAGAGCAAAGTATTTTCATTTATATTGTATTTTTAACCTGTACTAGTAAACCAGCAGATACTGAGACATATTTACAACCAAGATGGTCAAACCTTACTTCAATAAAATGGACATAAAATGTGGCTCCCAAGGTGGTTTGATTTTTGTTGAAAGGACAAAATGGCTCATCTTAACATTTGGGTTGCGGACCTCTAGTCTAACTGTTGCCTTTATATGTCTTTAATGGGCTGAATGAGGTGTGGTAGATTTGGGTTGGAGGCCAAGCCTGCAGGAAGGTAGATCTTTAGGAGGAGGGCTGATCTAATGAAGCATTGATTAATCAAACCAGGTGCTGGATGACAACTACAAGGCTCAGTGGGCTTCTTTGAGGAGAGGTTTGGTAATTGACACGCTGACATATATAAAATCACTACTTAGTGTTTTAGTATTATTTGTGTTAATTATTTTTTGTGCAGGTAACTGATTATTGGCCAGTTAAATAAATTCTTCTCAGGTGTGTTTTGCACAGTACTTTGTAATTCATGTTCAAACTTTTATTCGTGTTCAGATTTGGATTTTCTTTTGTTAAAAACAATGAATTTAAAAACACTGAATTTAATGTGATGTGATAAAAAAAAATCTCACTGTTTTCACTTTTTTGGTTCATATGGGCTGATAGATTTGAAACCATTCTACAGATTTGTGCTCAGGCAACGTGAACCAGAGCAGAGTCGCATGCAGAAGTTTATACACCCCTGGTCAAATGACATGCTTTGTTGAGTTTCTAAGTGAAAATAAGTTAACATGTTCTCTACATTGAACAACATAATTAATATTAATATAACATATATAATTGATATAATATTTTCTGCATATTGAAATGCACAAATTCTATTTAAAAAGTGAGACATATAGTATAACATGTGCCATCACTTTTACACCAGCCACATTTTATGTTTTACTTTTTTCTCATAATGTTCAATTCAGCAAATAAACTGTCATTGTGAATTAAATTGTGTTCCCTGTAGAGAATTTCACTTAGAATGATTAGCATTGCCCAAACTTTTGCACGTGACTGTAAAAATTGATATTAAAGGGGAATTCTGCCAACTTTTCAACATTTTTGCATAATTCTGTCATCAGGATGTACAAAGTCATTCAGAGTGGTTTGATGTGAAATCGTTTGTTGTAGAGAAACTTACAGACTCAGATTTCTTTACAGTCGTGGTGATAGGAACCAGGGTTCACCATGAGTACAACACAAATACAGCCATTTTATTTACTATCCAAAAGCACCAGTGGACCTACATGCATCCTAAGTTTCTATATGTAATGTTGATGATGGTAATACAGTGGAAAATCTGAAAAAATACATTTTTGGGTATTTTGCCTCACAATGCCCTACATGTATCCTTCTGCCATGACTGGATTAAAATAAATGGAATAACAAGACATTTTAGGCCAAAACTTTAACACAGAACTATCAAAATATGTTTTCTCTAGGGACTATTTTGTCTTATTACACCCTACATGTACCTCTCCACCTCTTATGCATGAAAGCATATTAACAATATGTTTTGTAGAGAAATTTACCACCTCTGATTTCTTATAATAGTGGTGATAAGTCTAGGGGCTGCGAGGCCTACAATTTTATTTACTATCGAAAATGACCAGTGAACCTACACGTCTTCAAACTGTTCATATGACGTTGGTAATGGTGAATCAGGGAAAAAATGTTAGACCTATATTTGGGTACTAAATTTATAAATATTTAGGCCACAATTTTACTGTAAAACTGTCTCTCAGACATCAGGCTGCGTATTCATAACCACTTTATGTAATACTTTTCTGTGAGGAAGCGTTCAGAGACATTAAACTCTTCAGACGTCTGGTTTCCATCACCAACAATTCTGACTCACTAAGTTTCTCAAAAACGAAGCATTTCACACCAAAACCGCTCTGAATGACTTTATTTACATCTTAACCATTTAATTGTGTAAAAATGTTGAAAACTTGGTGGAGTTCCCCTTTTTAACGGGTTAAGTAAGTGGAAATGAGTAAATGGAACTGGTTACTCCCTCTTCTGAGTACAGTGGACGGGGTACAGTGTTGCTCATGCTCGGCTTCTCGGCAATAAGCTCATCCTCTTGCCTGTCGCGCGCATTGCATAACGCCACCGTGCGCGACCCCGCGAGAGCGCATAAAAAGCGCACGCAGAGCTTCACCGCTCAGTGGTACCGTTAATACTCTGCCAGCTCTACTTCGACCCGAGATCAGAGACTCGATCCAACTTTCCTCACGGAATAAACAGCCGCTGCTCCATCGAGACCACTTTTTCCGCGCTTTTCTCTCAGAGGGGCTTCAAAGATGGCAAACACGGCCGTGCAGCTGCTCGCTTATGTCCTCTGCTATGCTGGACTGTGTGGTCTGATCGCGTCCACCTGCATGACCGAGTGGAAGATCATTGCGCGCGCTAACGGGGACACGGCGCCGCAGGTGGAGCGCGTGGGTTTATGGATGAGATGCAGCACAGGCGCCGGGGCCTCGATCACCTGCACGCCCTTCACCTCCATCCTCCATCAGTCGCGTGAGTCCAGCAACCTGTTACTGACCTACTGTGACCAGGGACCTAACGATACTTTCAGAGTCGATACGATTTTCGGTTCTGATGTCGAGATTCGATTCGATTTTCAATATTGAATGTCTTACAAAACGTTTTGATTCTACACACTTAAAAAAAGATGGTAAAGATGATGTTTCTGCTTAGAACCATGAGTTCTATATAGAACTGGTCCATGCTTAAATGGTTCTTTGCATGGTGAAATGTTCTTCAGATCAATGGAGATGTTGGCATAAATATCTAGAGAAAACAACATTCCTTGGGTTGTGATAATGAAATAACTTGGGATTTTGAGAAAACAAGTGAAAATAACTAGTTTTCACAGAAATTAAAAAAACATGGGAATCAATAGTCCTTTAGGTTTTCCACTCGGAATTAATAAACAGGAATATCTCATTTTTTTAAGTCTGCTTTTGACGTTTGCAGCCACACTGGTCTTAATAGAAACTGTTCATTAAAATAAAATAACATTATAACTATAATAGCTGTAATTCGTCATTTGATATTTAAGTATATATATTAAGTTTATATATACTATACTATATATTCTAGTATACACACACACACACACACACACACACATATATATATATATATATGTATATATATATATATACATTTAAAGTACATACAAAAAGTCTGACACTAAACATTAAAAGTTCCTGTTTCAGTTTTTAAAGGTTTCACTTATAAATTACTGAATTTGTTCATAATTGGCAGCATTTCCACAAAAGATGCCAGATGAGAGACCCTCAGAAGAAACCAAAGAGTGAAACATAAAATGAAAGTGTGCCATAACGTAAAATACATTTTTACATTTTTTGGACAACATTTTTCATGTTTTACTTTTTCCCTATATTTTCAATTCAGCATATAAACAGTAATTGTGCATTCAAAGAAGTGTGTTCTCTGTAGAGGATGTGTTAACTTATATTCAATTAACATGTCATCTGGCCAGGGGCACCCAAACTACATAAGACTACTTAAAAACATGTATTCATATATATTAAATAATCAATATTTTGCCCAAACATCAGTAAAAAAGCATAAAAAATGTAAAGTATATATATTTTTTCCCTGCAAAACAAGATTCTGCACACAACAATAACTTCTCATCAAATTAAAATCATAAGGAAATATTTTCTCTTCTACTTACAAACACAAAAGTGATCAATTAAATGTTTAGAATACAGAATTCCTATTTTTGCATAAGCAATGAGTAGAAACATGCTAAAATATGGTGTGCGTACGGTGCTGTGAGTCACCCTGTAAAGAGGTGTCGTGTCAGAGTTTTTCCAACCACATTATACGTCTTTATATTTTAACATTGCACAACTCAAACAGCATTTATGGTCAGACCTCAAATGCAAAATGAACTTCATCATCATACTGATGAAAATATGATAACAATAGTAGATAATTCACTCACATCCTCGGAAGACACGCCGCTCACCATGTTTTCTTTAAATGCTCTTTCAAATCACTCGCAATCATCAGATTCATCCACTTGAGGAAGGGGTCCTAAGCTCAACTGACATTATAAAATGCAATTACACATTTCCACCAGAGAGGTCTCTAAATCCCCAAAACTTACATAATGTAACTTTAACAGCTGTGTTCTTAAATGCACTCATGCTCTTTTAGTTTGTAATAACGCTTCTCCTTTCTCCATTGCAGGGGAGATCAATGTGAGCAGAGGGCTGATGTTAAGCAGCATCATCTTCTGTGGTCTTGCTTTGCTGTTGACCATTCCTGGGCTCAAATGCACCACGTGTTTAGATGGAAGCGAGCAGATGAAGAGCAAACCGGCCATTGTTGGTGGTGGCTTGTCCATTATTGGTGGTGAGTTGTTATCATTGATGTGCCCTCTCAGCAGAACGAAAAACATTTGGTCATATGGACAGTGTGTTAAGTAATACAGAACATGTCATATGACAAAGCTATTCTTTTATTATATTTTCGGGAACACTTAAACTACATTTTCTCATTGACATTAACATAATTAACCGTAATCATGATCATGGCAGATGTCATATGCTGTCATGACTTACTGGTAATTGTAATAACAGATGTCGTAATGTTTGATGTCACGACAGCTTATGGCACACGTAAATTGTAATCTGTCATGACATCTAACATTATGGCATCTGTCATGACAACGGTAGTAGTAACATGACGCTGCTTATTTTACTGAACAGAATCTCTCGTGAAAAGTCATGACAGCATACGTGACGTGTTTATGGCTTGATTATGTCATGTAAAGGACATTTTTACAGTGTCTCTTTTGCTAATTAGAAAACAGGAATAAACAAGAGTTACCTGATGGCTTGGAATACCTTAAACCGGCTCGGAATACCTTAATCCGTTCTGTTTGAGGGACTTGCATATCATTCCTGTCCAAAAAAAAAAACAAATATCTCCAAAATGGAGCGTTTCTATTGGTCCATTCATTATGAAATTGTCACTCATTGTAAAGGACAGCTGCTGAGCTCAAATGACATGAATGAATCAAATGAATTCATTTTTCTGGCAAACCGGCTTTGATATGAGGGTATCTAGGGGTGGCTGGTACAGTGAAAACATATCATGATTCTTTGAGACATTTTTACGATACATGATACATATCACAATATTTTGACAATGCCCTCACTAGTAGTGCCACATTTGAAAACTGTCATAAAAAACACAATAACACAATAATTTCATTCAATGTTTCACATGCTGTGCTGCACTAATTCCAACAGAAAAATAATTCCAAGCAGGCCTATTTTTGCTGTCTTTGTAATGAACTCTGTAATGAGACTCTGGAATTGTTGGTCTGCCCTAACATGCTCTTGTCGCTGTTCCTCCAGGTCTTTGCGCCTTTGGATTAATCTGTTGGTACGCTTATGAAGTTGCCCAAGAGTTTCAGAGCACCAGTCTGATCAAGTACGTCTTCTGTTTCTGTACTTTTAGGTTCTTATACTGTATTTAAGAGTGGTGGAGATTGTGCACTGTGGGGTTCTACCTGAGGTGTCTAATGTTTTTTGGCTCTCTGTAGGTATGAGTTTGGACAGGCTCTGTTTGTCGGAGGAGCTGCGGCTTTGCTCTCCATCATCGGAGGTGCTCTCCTGTGCGCTAGCAGTAAACCACCGAAGCACCTCAGGTCATATCCAGAGAAGCCATCCGTCTCCCAGACTCAGTCCACAGAGTACGTCTGAAGATATCTGCAGCCGCTGCGTCTGAGATCTACCAGAGATGTGAATATACTCGTCAGTGAGGCCATGAGTTTACTTAGTTTACAATGCTGAAGGTCAGAGTTGTGTTTGTCTTCCTTTTTTTGCTGTTTAAGACTGTACAAGTCACTGATTACAGCCACGAAGTAATGAATGCCTTCTTTATTTAATAAATCCTTACTATATGTGAATCTATATATATATATGTAAATCTATATGTAGAGTTTTATATATAAACAGCTGCAGAAGTAATGAATGACGTTTTTTTTCACTAATTTTATGTATGTGTTTATTATATAAACTGGTCTGTTTCGTAATACTGCTGTTTTTCATATATTTAATGTGAATGTAAAATACACTGATAAACTATTTTCTTAATAACTACACATTAAAGCAATTAAAATATATATTGTCTTGCTTTTTTCAAAATATTTACTTTTCTGTATTTCAAATTCTAGTTACAACTTTCATTGTCCATATAGACACAAACTTTCTGAAAAAGCTGTGAACTTCATTCAACCTTAAAGGCAAATTCCACCCATTTTTCAAAATTTCAGCATAATCATTGAAATGTCATTCAGACCGATTTGGTGTTAAATGGTTCATCATAGAGAAACTTAGTTTCTTTACAGTGGTGGTGATAGGAATCAGGGGTTGTGATGTCTACAACACAAATATAACCATTTTATTTACTATCCAAAACCACCTACTACCTTTTATATGTAATGTCGATAATGGTAAATAGGAGAAAAATGTCTTTTTCATGGACTGTTTTGCTTTATAATGCCCTGTTTGAAGCACTCTTCCATAAAATATATTTAAAAATATGTTCTAGGCCAAAACCTTATTGTGAAACTATTGTAAAAATGCCTATTCATAACCATTTTATGTAAAAACTTTCTGTGGGGTAGCTTTTAGACGCATCGGGCTCTTCAGATGTTTCCACAATATGTAAGATTTCTTGCGAAATGTTTTGATAATGAACCAACAGACAAACAAACAACTTAAATAAATATGAACAAATACGAACTCGTAACTCTGTAATATGACCACACTGGTACATAACCAGTCTGTACAGGTGTTGTGCACTTTGGCTCAAGTCCTACTGTTGCTTCTGAATTCATCCACTAGGGGGAGACAGAATTCCATCAATTAAAGGACAGCAATTCAGCATGCACGGGGTATAACTTTGTCTTGTGCTGGCTATATGGTTAAGTAAATAGAGAAGGAAATTAGAGTCTGTGGGTATGTTAGTATATAAATATGGCATAAATTATAATAAAGACACAAAATCATAAACTGCATGCTTAGGCTACTCAATGTAAACACCCTTACCACACTTAAAGGGGACAGAGTTTTAAAAAATAAAATGCATAAATGCATAAAAATGGTTGAAATGTAAAGTAAGTCATTTAAAGTATGAAACTGTGCACTGTAGAGAAACTTACCCTCTCAGATCTCTTTACAATGGCGGTGATAGGAACCAGTTTTATTTAACATGCAAAATGACTTTGAATGTCTACAAACTTACATGTAACGCTGGTAAAGGTAAATCGGGAAAACGTGTTATATTTGGGTACTAAATGTATAAACATGTAAGCCAAAACGGTACCACAGAACAATGTCACGGCCGTTAGATAGTCACGTAATAGCCTCATCTAATGTGTAATGTAATAACCAAGTGGTGACAGAGGAACCAGGGGTCACCATGTCTACAACACAAATAGGCCTATAGCAATTTTATTTATTATCCAATACCACTGCTGAACCTTCATACGGCTTCTTTGAGGACTATTTTGCCTTACAACGCCCCGCATGTATCCCTCCGCCATAACTGGATTAAAATAAACTGGTTAACAAGATATTTTAGGCCAAAACTTTATCACAAAATTACTGTAAAACAAAGTCTCAGGCAACAGGCATAACCATTTCATAACCATCTTCTGTGAGGGGGGTGTTAGAGGCATTAAACTCTTCAGACGTCTGGTTCCTATGACCACCAGTGTGAACAACAACGATACGGATTCAGTTAAGTGTCTCTAACGGACATTTCACACCAAACCACCCTGATTTCATTGTTTAGAAATTTTGGGAAACGTGTGGAATTCCCCTTTAAACGCGTTGACTGTATGAGTAATAGTGTATATCTGTGTTCTTGGTTAATAAGTATCAGTGTGGAGGACAGAGCAGGTAACAGGGGAGTCGTTCCTCTCCCTGTTAGCTACTTATTTCCTACTTGTGGGAAAGGAGGAGGAGTCCATTTGTAGGAGGAGGAGGGGGGTCACAGAAATGTCCCCGACTAATCACTCCTTCACAATGACTAACACAGACTGTGGAATGGTAGGTTAGCCCGGTCGTGTGAGTCGCTCCCGGCTTCTAACATCACCACACTGGGCGGTGCCGGTCTATCTGACCGAGAGACAGACTCCGAAGAGGCTGAGTTGAGTTTACCGAAGATGGACGTGAACGTTCTTCCTCCGCGCGGCGTGGTCCTGGCCCTCATCCTTCAGATAACGTGGGCGCTCGAGCCGTACGACCTGCTGTACGATAACGGAGTGGAGGCTTTTTCCAGAGGCGACTATGCCGGTGTGGTGCGGTACATGGAGAAAGCGCTGGCGAGTTTCTCCCGAGTTCGTCAGACCAAAATCCGCTGCAGGCTGAAGTGTGAGGACCAGCATCGCATCGACAGCAACATCAACACCGACCTGTTCTTCTTCGACTCGGTCCTCCGGAGAGCCGCCTGTCTGAACGCCTGTATCGAGGGACAAATCGGCACCCAGTCCATGCACACAGTGAGCGAGGATGTTATCCAGGACTTCCACAGAAGAATCCCTTACAACTACCTTCAGCTGGCCTACAGAAAGGTAAAGAGGAGTGAGCTAAAAAAGTATATAAAATTCCCAGGTGGTCACCTGTTTTTTCCCCACGCTGAATGAGAAGGAGTGCTCAAATGATAGGTAATGTTTATGGTGATGCTGAGAACAAGAGCAGGCTTTGATAGAACTTTCTAGAATGTTCTGACAGGTTCTAGAGAGTTCCAAAACTCTGAGGAATTAGTTTTCTCTTATTTCACCTCCTTGTTTCTACACGCACTTTCATCAGCTCCATTTCATATAGTTGCACTTTGTAGTTATACAGTTACAGACTGTAGTCCATCTGTTGCATACTCCATTAGCCCCCCTTCACCCTGTTCTTCAGTGGTCAGCACCCCACACGACCACCACAGAGCAGGTACTATTTGGGTGATCATTCTCTGCACTGCAGTGACACTGACATGGTGTGTTAGTGTGTGTTGTGCTGGTGCGAGTGGATCAGACACAGCGGTGCTGCTGAAGTTTTTAAATGCTGCAGTATCACTGATGGACTGAGAATAGTCCACCAACCAAAATGATCCAGCGTCCTGTGACCACTGATGAAGGACTAGAGGATGACTAATGCAAACAATGCAGCAGCAGATGAGCTATGGTCTCTGACTTTACATCTACAAAGTGGACTGACAACGTAAGAGTGTCTAATAGAGTGGACAGTGAGTGGACACAGTGTTTAAAAACTCCAGCAGCACTGCTGTGTCTGATCAACTCGTACCAGTGCAACGCACCATCACCACATTAGTGTCACTGCAATGCTGAGAATGATCCACTGCCCTTATAATACCTGCTCTGTGGTGGTCAAGTGGGAGTCCTGACTATTGAAGAACAGGGGGCAAACAAAGCCTGCAGACAAAGAGTTGGACTACAGTCTGTAACTGTAACTACAAAGTGCACCTATATGGAAAGTGGAGTGGAGAAAATATACAGTGAGTGTAGAAACAAGGAGGTGGTTTTAATATACTGGTTGATTAGTGGATATACATTGATAAATTTAATAAATTTAATTTAAGCCTCCTGTTCACTTATCAGTCCTCTGAAGTCAAGTGTCATTCCATAGTTGACATTGTGCCCATATTAGGAACTGCATATCTATGCTGATTTTCTCTATGATAAAAAAGAATAGATATGAACAAGAATTGCTGCTCTTGTGTTTTGTGGTTAACTAAAATGCCCCAAAGCCAATATGTTTTGTCTGTGTACATGTTTTCTCCCAGTGTCACCAGATCCTCTGTATTATAAGGTCATTTTGCAGTCAAATTTAAATAATACTTCATGTTCCTGCACACTGAAATGATGCCACATGAAAGTACATCTACTATTAAACTTCAGCACTATTACTACTCAAACTGCAAACTCCCAAAGCCTCTAAGCTGCCACATTTGACAGACTGGTTTGCATGAGATATTTTGGTGAAGTTGCCAACCTTAGGATGTCAGTTCAATGTGCAGCAGTGTTGGCTTTGCATGTAGTATTAGTCACAGTTCAGCTCCTTAATGACCTCATAATTCAGAGGATCCAGTGACATTTGGAGGAAAAATTTCCGCATCAGCTTTGGAACATTTTAGTTCACCACAGGAGGCGACAGTGGCCATTTTCCAAAAACGCCATTTATTTCTGTCACAGAGAAAATCCAGGAGCTCCTAATATGGGCATGACACAAAGAATGACAGCGTGACTTCAGAGGTCAATACACCCTACATCAGTTAAGCCCCACCCACTTTTGTTGAAGTTATAAGGAATGTTTCAGGTCATTTACATAGGTCAGTCTTACAGCCACATTTACAAAAACAGCCTGTTTAAATCTAAGGGATAACAAGAGGATGGAAAGAGGTCATGTAAAGTGTAATACAACTGTTATTGGCGCATAAAAGCATACAAACATCGTAAATGGACTGTAAGGGGAAACAAATAAGACATGTAATTGTAGAAGGACTCTACTCTATTAACCTAAATGGGGCATGGCTCTGTTAAGTAGGCTAATCTCTACTTAAGGCTTTAGTAGTAATGTGTATTAGAAATTGTTCTGTGTGAAATTCAACAAGAAAATGTCAGGTTCAGGTTACTTCAGAGCTGAGTAATCCAAAGTGTCTAATGTGCAAGAAGGCTGTTGGCATATATGGCGATTGTACTCTTAAAGCACATGTGACTATTTCATATTTCGCATTATTAAAAGGAGTCTGTTCAGTTTAATATGTCAGACCAAACAAGCCCTGGTGGTTTGAGGTTTGTTATAATGTACTGTAAAACTTGTGAAACAGTTTAGTTCTCACTTTGCTCACTAATAAGTATAGAGAGTGAAGATACCTTTTCCTGATAAATCGCTGTCTGAGAAGAAGCTGAGTTTATTCCCCTCACTGAATTGGACTAAGGAACTGAAAAATCCTGCCGAGGCCTCCCCTAATGTGTTTTTTGTTACTAAGCCCAGGGGTACACAGCACAGTACAACTGCATGTACACGTAACCAAATAGCTGAAAGGCT